GCCCCCCTCTGTTTAGACGCCTACAGTGGGTCCTGGGCACCCATATCCTCACCTCTTTGCAGACACCTGTGGGGGTCAGAGGGCTGGATGCTGGTGCCCCAGAGTGACAGGTAAAGGACACAGGGGCAGAGGGGACAGGGCTATGTGTGGGCTCCTCCAGCTGTAACAGGACAGCCTTCTCGCGCTGTGTACGCACCCTCCCCATGCTCTTCTGCTCTAGAGCAGAGCAGCCTGTTTTCTAAAAAAATATTGTTATTGATTTCAGAGAGGGAGAAGGAGAGAAACATCCATGATGAGAGAGAACCATTGATCGGCTGCCTCCTGCACGCCCCCTACGGGGGATCCAGCCCACAACCTGGGCATGTGCCCTAGACCTGAATCAAACCTGGGACCCCTCAGTCTGCAGGCCGACGCTCTACCCACTGAGCCAAGCAGGCCAGGGCCAGCCTATTCCTCTTATGTAAAGTGGTTTGTATCTGAATCGCCTCTGACAAAAAGTCCTGGTAAGAAAAGTTTCCTCTGTGAAGCCCTACTACCACTATAAGTATTTTAATAGCTCCTATCACATGGCCCGGCCGGTGTTGCTCAGTGATTGAGCGTCGACCTAGGAACCAGGAGTTTGCGGACTTCTGGTCCAGGGCCTCTGCGTCCCTGGGTGTGGGCCGCCTCCCAGGAGCCTCCCACAGGCACCCGTGGGTGGGAGGTTCCCACGGCCCTGCCCAGGGTGGGGTGGGGCGGCGAACCCCACACCATGGCTTTGGGTGTTGCCTCTCATTCAGGTTGGGCCACTTTGCGGTTCCCAGACTCCCAGCCTGGACCGCTGAGCAGCAGAGGGGGAAACTCCTGTTCCCTGGTCCTCCTGCCCCCACCCCTCCCCCGCCCCCCTTCTCTGGGCTGAGGGACCCTCTCAGCATGCTCCCGGCTTGGAGGCTTTGCTCCACAAATTATATCAGGACTTCAGGCGGCACCAGGAATCTGCCAAGCTCATTTGAAACACACAGCATTCAACCAAACTGTTGTGTCCTCAGCCCACTGAGTACAGGGTCTGACACCTGACGTCCTAAAGCTACTTCCCTCCTCCTGGCAGGAAGGGGTGGCAGGAGCACCTGGGAACGCTGTGCTCTCAGGAGGAAGACAGGGC